AGTATATAATAAGATTCCAGCTAAAAAAAAAGAAAAAAGCTTAATTCAAAGGCTCGGAACGATGTCTGCACACTTCCTAACACTCCTAACACACGTGCTTCTCCGGTAACTTTTTTCCTCTTCAACTTTAGAAAGTACAAAGCTGAAGATGGACCATCCCCATAAGTAACAATTACCAGTTACAAGAAGTTCAGAAAAACATGACAATGTAGAGAAAATAATTTTTGGTTTCTCGACCTTTACTTTCTATAAGTTTTATAAAAACAAACAACTCCAAGCATCCACTTTACTTCTTTTCTTCTTTCTATGGATCTTCGTTCTATGGATCTCTGCCAATATAGGAAGGAATGATGCAGAAAAAGAGATCGGTAAGAGATTGCTCAGCAAGTGAAACTGGTGTAAATGACCCAGAAATGAAATAAATATGTCCGAATGTATTAGGTGCCCTAGACTCTGTAACTCCCTGGTCATGAACACTTTCAGGAAAAGACATCTATATTTTTGGCTGAGGCACACCCAATAGTGTGAAAGAAACAGAGGGCTCTGGGGGAAAAACAATGGATAGCAAGGAGCCAGCAGGGCCCCACAGGCAGCGCTTACCCGATGGAGTGAGATCTGCAGTGAGGGCAGCACAGGAGAGAACAGTGGGAACAGAGTTAGGAGATCAGGATGCAAAGCAATGACAACATTGGCCATTGTCCCCTCTTTTAAGAGCCCGGAGCAAAGATTAGGTGACTCCATTTATTACTTCTTTTGAGTATATTGAATTTTTAATGTGTCTTAACAATTATTTTACCAACCTGTTATAAGCTGTGCTTCTATTATTCTCATGAATATTTAGAATGGTTAGACTCACTAATAAAATTATGCGCCTCTTCCAAAGACTTCATCTCCACTAGATCACACACAGTTTGAACAAATTCACTGAGAAGTTTCAGGAAGATGTCAATATTATAAAAGTTATTCCAACAGCTCGACTTTCTTCACAGTACTTTCACAAATGTGACCTCATTGTAACTTCACAGGAAACATCTTAGTTGGGTAGCTATTAACAATGTTATTTTATGGATGGAGAAGGAGACCTAGCAATTCCATGGCTGGGCTAAGGGGACTTTACTTAATGGCTATCAGGGGAGATGGAAAATTACAGCTTGGGAAATATTACTTATTTTTATAAAACATATAAATTAAATTCTAACATAGGCCTTCTCATTCAGTAATTAAAATGCCCAAGTCCTAGGTTTTCAAAATCCATACGTATTAACTTGGAATTACTTTAAAGAAAAACAAGAGGTACTGTTTTTCATCTCAAGTGTTTGAATTTAGTGGAAATCTTTTTGAACAAGTTTAGAAATTTGTTCTCAGAATGCACAAATGAATTTTATCATGTAACTAATATAGAAAAACATGATACTTTTAAACCAAAAAGGGATTCATGGTAAAATGTCTGCAATAAAATTTTAAAATTTCCCCACTATCATTTTATAAATTGGCAAATTAATTTGAAAAAATAAAAATGTATTAATTTTTCTTATTTAAAAATCTTTATTAGAGTAAACTTAAGCAATTTTCAAACATAATTTTTATTATATTATTTCTTCTAGCATAATTTATTTAATTATTTTTATACTTTAATACATGTACCCAAAAATATAGAGTAAAGCTTCTCATTCATTCAATGAAGATTTATTGAGTATTGTGCCAGGCATTTTGCTGAGTAATATGAGGAACAGTACTAGGCCAGACATTTATTATTTTTATTTCTTTTAGGCAAGGCAACCCTTGGTTGACTTCACAGATTGCAAGGAACTTCTAGCATAATTTAAAATTAAAAATTCTTTGTAAAACTTGTTGCTTTCACAGGAATTTATCCTCACTTATATAAAATGTCAAATATTATAGTTAGAGAAAAAAACGTAACTGAAAATACAGGTCTACATATTATAGGACCATTATCTGAGTCTCCAGTAACAGGCTATATTTCCCAGTAGTTCATAATGAAAATGTTGTGTCCCCTGCAGAGAATAATAATTAATGAAAAGTTTGGGACTCCTAGGAAATAGATTACCTATTACACGAAAACAAAGCCACATGGAAACAGGAGGAAAGGCAGTTGACACAACCTTGATACTGTACCCGATAGTGTATGAACATGAATATGTTAACATATTGCCTATGTGAAACAGTCTTCATTCTTTACCACTTAGAAAAATGAACACAACCTTTATGAAATACAGTGTGCTTCTGTTAATGGATTCTCCCTAATTTTTGTAGTATGGGGCCACGTTGTAACTGAGATGGTCAATTAGTCAAGATGAAAGCTACCTAGCATTTATTGAGTTGAATACATGGCAGGCTCTCTTCTGCTACTTTTATAATAGCTCAATAACATTGTTATTCTTATCCCCATTTCATACTGAGAACACCCAGGTACAGGCAACCTAAGTTACATCTGGCCTCCTCATTACCTGAAGTAGAATCACCTGGGAGCTTGTCACAAATGCAGATTCCTAGATTCCACCCAAGACCTGTTAAGGCACAATCTTGGAGAGGTGCAATCTGGAAATATGTATTTTAAACAAGCTTCAGAGGTGTTTGTAAATTTCCCTTAAAAATGGAGAAACACTATTCTAGTATTATTCTGAGGTCCCAGTGTTCAAGTGAAAGGTTTCAACTACCTATGTAAAGAACGGATTTTATAAACATGGAAATACTTTTTCTTGGATATAACCGGTAATAGGGTCTTCCCTTTTTAAGGAATTATTTAATTAGTTCAGATAAATGTTTTATTGCCATCGAAATCACTGCAAATTTTATTTGTAATAAAAGGCAGCAGTTGCCTCTTCTGCCCTGCGTGACTCGGGGTTCCATGTATCTTCTTTAAGCTAGAAGTAAATTTTATTTGTAATAAAATTAAGGTTACTTAATAATCCAGGATGTTTACTTGTTCATCATATGCTACCTCTGAAGAATTTCAATGGCTTTTCCTTATTGCATTATTAGTAAAAATGAAAATAAAACAATGTGTTCAGATCCATGTACATGTACTTAACTCTAGCTTCATGAATGCCAAGATGCGCATGAATACTGGGCACAATTCAGCAATTTTTGAGGCCAAAAAAATAACTAAAACATAAAGATATAAATATTTGCCTCTAGATAGCAAAACTACAGGGTGATAAAAAGTAATAGTTTAAGAATCTATTCAAATAATGCATATAGATCTTTTGAAAAGAAGAAATTTAAAATGTACTTTAAGTTTTTTAAAAGTAAATTTGATTTTTAGAGAGAGCTGAAATCAATTCACAAAGAAAAATCTCCTAAGCATATCGGCTAAATTCAAATAAAATATGATAGTTATTTAAGCAAGCAAAAAATATGAGAGTAACAATTCTATATAAGATAACGTCCTAGAACATGATATAAAAAATAAAAATGGTCAATACTACATTATTTTTCTGGTGCCTATAGTGAGGATGTCTGGTTCTCAGTTCAAAATCTTGATGTCCATCCTAATTTTATATAATAGTGAAATACTGACAATAACCAAAACATGTTTAGAAGTTTTGCTACAGCTACACACTGGAAGATAATACAGTCATTAAAAACGAAAGTGTTATAAACATTTATTAACATATCCACAGTATATTCCTAAAGCAAAGAAAGAAAATTATCAGAAATATATACCATAGGGTACCTTTTGGAATAAAATAATAAATATGTATGTATTTAGCATAGAAAAAAATATACTAGATGGACATATACTAAAATGTAACTAGAATAGTTTATTAGCGCATATTCCACTGAATGCGCATTTTAAGTTACTGTTTAAAGTACAATGATTAAAATTCAGTGTGTGCTGCATTCTTTCGAAATCCCCCCTCATTACTAGTGTTTAATGGTGTACGTTATTTTTACTTAGATCTGGCCCCGGTGGAAAAGGCATCTTTGGGCCCAGGCCCCTAAGCTGACCTTCAGGCAGAAGACATCCCAATATAAAATTTTATCTCAGTCACCAACTGCTATCAGCCACATAAAATTTTTACCCAATAATAACAAAAAGAATATGTTAGCAAGTCCAGCTGATAGATTATGAAAGCTCCCTCTCTCGGAAAGCCAAGGGCTTGGCACCATTCCCACAGTTCTTTCCCACAGTACCTCATGTCTCCAAACTTCTTGCTGATGGCCGTCCCAACATTGCTAAAAGCAGCAGTTGCCTTCTGCCCTGCATGACTCAGGGTCTCATGTGTTTTCTTGTAGCTGTAAGTAAAACAGAACAATAGTAACACAGTTTACATATCGTGATCACCCATAAAATACCCCTGGTCCTTCTGTCTCCTTCCTTTGAAAATTCCTTTTCCTAAACAGGTTTAGGGAGAAGACAATACACAGAAGTAATTGTTTCTATTCATTGTTTGGGAATGATGGGTTGGCTGCCACTTAGCACAGGGAGAGTCAGACCATTAAATCTGAATTCAGGAAAAATATACAAGTACAGATCTTAATGTGCAGATTTTTAATCACAAAGAGTGGAACTATTCTGAGAGTAGACAGTTATTCTTAAAGAAGTGTACTAACCCTATGAAGAAACACTTGCCAATGAAAGCTCTAGCCACCAAAGTTAACACAAAGATTAGAAAATGTACATTTCAAAGGGAAATTTAAGATTTTACTGTTATTGAGGGTAAAATTAACCAGAAAAAAAGCAAAATATAACTAATATTTAATTTGTTTTTCTAATACTATAGCTGGGAGTAAGAAAGGAACATAATCTTAATATAGTGACTTTTTTCAAAATAGTTTTAGCAATATACTATTGCAATGATCTCTTCATAAGCCCTGTGCCCCACTAGACTGACTCCTCGAGGGCAAGGAATCCATTTATCGTTGTGTCCCTGGTATCCGGCAGAGGAATACAGGAGAAACTCAATAAGTACCAGATGAATGAATCAATGATCAAAGAGGATGCCCCTCTGTGGCTCTGAGCTGGGAGTCATGGCAGTAAGAACAGAGAGGAATGTGCTGGATCACACAGATCGAATGGGTAGACTCGATGGGGTTATAAGTGATAAAACGAACAAGATGGAAAGATTGGCCTGGGGTTTTGAGCATGGTTACAGGAAGAACAGTGGTATATCCATAGGGCCGAGAACTTTCTAAGAGTTATTTATTCAATAAAGTGGGAAACTAAAGGTTCCTAATCTGAGGGAATGAAAAGTAATCAGTGACAAGTTTTGTACATCATGTCACAATATATGCAAGTCATGATGCTGTGCACCTTAAACTTATACAGTGCTATATGTCAATTACATCTTAATAAAATAAACAAAGACAAAAACAAAAATATTTTGTGTAGTTTTTTAAAAAATTAAAACTAATCCTTATAACGCCCATACTTTCTTCTTACAATATATGCTGCTCCCAGGTAAGTTCCCCAAAGCTACCTGCTTAGCCCAGAATACCTGCATGTGTACAGTACCTCTGAGAAGACTTTACATAAAATCAGTTGTGTAGGAACTTCCTTTATCCCTCCATCCCTTCCGTCTCCCACAAGTCATGCAGTTCTAAATGTACTATCAACTCTAAGGAAATGCTTTAAAACATGCCCTTTGGTCTTCCTCAGGACTGAAATCACTGTATGAATATGGTAGTCTATTACCCAATTTTTGTTAGCAGGTAGGAATGAGTTTACAATATTATTAGTACCATATATTATTTATTTACACAATGCCTGTTTTTCAGGAAGGGTAAAAATCATACGATCTAGATCATAAAACCAAACCTAGCATTCATTCATTAAACAGACATTTCCTGGAGAATATGGAAAAACCAGGGGGAATAAGGACTGAAGAAGAATCTGGTGCCTAGGAGGGAATTAGTATCTCTGGAGAGGGAGAGCTGTGTGAGTAGAGTAGGGAAGGTCGGCCCTGCTGGCTTTGGGTCAAAGCAGCAGGTGAGAAGTGAGATGGCGGAAGAAAGGAATGGCTTCTGGGGCGTTTACCTACATTGTTTTCTGTGTAGGTACAAAAATACCAGCTTATTCAAATTACAAAAATATCAGCTTATTCAAATTACAATTTTATTTTTACATTTTTCTACATGACGTTAGGTTTTAATTTTGGCAAAAATGTTTTTGATTACAGGAAACCATTGAATTTCAGGCAGTTTACATAGGAAATAAATGTTAATGTCTAACTTGTTATTAGTGAGAAGGCACTTAAAATAGTACTAAATGTTAATGACCGGAAATAAAAACATCAGTCATTATTACAAGATTTTAGTGAGGTGTGATGTTGAAATGGCATGTGCTGAGAATTCTTCAGAAGAAATACGCTACTAAGTAGGTTGTCAGTTTGTCCTGATCACTTGGATTAACTGGGCTTAATTTAAATGCAGAGGATTTGGCCTTAAAAACAAAAGGGTTTCTTTACAAATTAAGAAAGAAAAGTTTTGAATACCTATTTCATTATACTTTTAAGATGCTGACAAAGTTTTCACAAAGTAGTAATTGAGCTATGAAATCAGATCTATGAAAAATGCATTTAAAAGCGGAATCCATACATGTTGGAAGTGAGGAAAGCACAGTATCAGATGCAGAGGAAACATGTTCTTACACTATGGACGGGGCTTTAGAATTAGGCTCGACCCAGGACTCCTTCTCCTCACATGATCTTTCTGAAATATATTAAGAAAAACTTATTTTCTATCTAAGTTTCTCATGTATATTGGTGGGAAAATAGAGTAATCCATTAAATACCCCAAACGGGAGACTTAGTATCATTTTTGTACCTTATATTCCTTTAACACTCCATATCCAACTCACCCAGAGACCCTGTTGGTTCAACCGTCAAAACATATCAAGAATTTGTCTACTGTCTCACCACATCTACTGTTCTCCATCTCAGTTAGCAAGAACAGGGTTTTGTTGTACTGTGAATGCCCTACTTTGAAGAATTAAAAAGATCTAAGCGTGTACCCTTAGGAAGACTGTGAAAACCACCTTTTCCTGTCCAATCAAGACCAGATGTACCTAGAACCTTGGTCAGGTGACTGTCAGCAGAATAGAGCTGGAGGAAAGGGGAAATAGGGTTGAAAAGGGACTCAAGGAAGGCTAAGGAAGAAAGTCTAATGGATGTTCCCCTAGCACTGACTCTGTAAGGCCTGAAAGGTGACTCAAGGGAAAAGTAAAGAAATATTCTGCAGTATCTGTGGTTTTCACATGAGGTTGGGACTGTGGACTTGTTAGAAAGTTCTTCTGTTGGTCCTGCATTGCTTCAGGAATTCTTTGTGATTAGAGCAAATATTTAATTTTCTTGTAAAATGTGCCATGTAGCTTAATTTTGTGTATTGGAGAATGCTTTGAATTTTGAGATAAAAGTGACTTTTGAACATTTATGTGTGTGTGGCATTCTGAATTTGATGACTTAATTTAAAAATAGCTAGAGAGAAGTACATGTAAGTGTGAGCTACACTGTGTTTTAAAGACACTTTTATATCAAAACGTGAGGTGGGTGTACAGGGGTCGCTGAGCTTTTAGTGACATTTACGTCCTCACCATGAAAAATGCAACTCTATATGTGAGATTTCAAAGTTAAAATTCAACCATATGGATAACTCAGTGAAGTGCTGAAGAGAGATTTTTAGGACTGTTAACTCTTTATTTCTGTGAATTATGTAATGTTAAAAGCACTAGAGCCCAATCCCTTCAGACTACAGATGAGGAAACTGAGGCCCAGTTAATGACAGAAATAGAGTCAGGACCTAGTCCAATGTGCTTGGAAATGACAGATATTAGAGGGTGAATCAGGTAAGCTTTCTATAACTCTAGTGTTTGTGGAGAGAAATAATACTATATTTCAAGAATTCTAAGATGCACATTTCCCCCCTCATTTTTACATCTCTTCCCTAGGCTAACCATCACCTTTCTTGAAAATAATGAGTAGTCATTTGACATAAGTTACTTAGAGACCAATAATGGAAAGAGATTTCAAGGAGGCAGGCAATGAGAGAAGGTTATACGTGAGGAAGTGATTTCCAAGTTGCCAGGGACACCATGAGAAATTGGCCGTTGGGCACATAAAGAGCACCATTCACATCATAGTCTAAGCGAAGGGTCCTTCTGGAGTTGTGTACCAGAACCTATAACCGTATGTTGCATCCTAGTTGGGCTTGATCTTAAACTTGCATAAGTAATATACATCCCCATCCGGAGGCTAGGAGACTGTATCTTGATAAAAGGTCCTCTTATCAGGCCACTGATAATCCCTAAGACAGTGTATTTGCATTTTACTCCCTTTATTGTGCCCTGAAATTTGGTACACAGTTTGAACTACTAATACTTAAAACTTTTTCCCACCTTATCACATAAAACTATGTTCATAATATTCAGATAATGAAAAACAACTTAAATACCAACCTTCAGATTGATCTGACAACATTGTAATTTAAGTGGAAGTGGTATTTAGCATTTTTGATTACTAGTGTCTTTTACTTTAAGTTAAATATAAGTTATATCATTGTTGAATTACATAATTAATAAAGTAGGGGAGTAATACATTTTATTTAAATAAAAGTCAAAAGGTTAAGATATCCCCAGTTTGCTGTCAATTGCCCATCGAGAAGCAGAAAAATTGGGAGTTTATACTTCAAGAAGATTGTTATGTGCCTCTCCTCTGTGTTCCCATCAACCCCTTTGCACAGCTCTTTCCAAGCATTTTTTCACTGTGTTATAATTAATCGTTTTCGAATCTGTCTCCGTGACCTGCCTGAACTTCCTGAGGGCTAGGGCCACATCGTGTTCATCATCACTGTATCCCCAGGGCTGGAATAAACCAGAGCAAGAGCCACATGAGGCCAAAGGAAAGAAATGAATTCCAGTTTGAGTCCAAGATTTAAGCTACAGGTGCAAAAAAAGGGCTTTCCAGTGGAAATTTCTGACTCTGGAGGAGAGCAATGAAAGCCTTAAGTTGAGTGAAGGGAAATTTGTTCTTGGATGTTCAAAAGCAGTCCCAGGAAACAGCAGTACCCAACAAGGCTTGAACCTCATCTAGCACTGAACCTTCCTTGGGCAAAGGTTTAACAGTGACAGCAAATAGCAGCTCACATTTTCAGACTTTATATGCATTAATCCATTGAAGAGTGTTTATTGGGAATTTTTTGTTGTTGTTTTGAGTAGAAGGAAACTTCTTATTTTTCAATAAAAGTCAACAAAAAAACAGGTTTTGCTCTTCACAGATTGTTTGGCTGGAATGAATATCTTTTTATTCTACTTTTCAGAGGTAAATAAAATTGTAAGATATTTAGGTGCACATAGTGATGGTTTGATATACATATACATTGTGAAAAGATTCCTCCCACCTAGTTAATCAATACATCTATAGAAACCTTTAAGTTCTACTCTCAGCAAATTTCAATTACACAATATAGTGATATCAACTATAGTCACCATACTATACATTAAATTCTCGGATCATATTCATCTTATAACTGAAAGTTTGTACTCTTTTATCATCTTCTCCCTTTCTTTCCCATGCCCCAGCGACCATTCTTCTTCTCTCTCTAAGAGTTTGGCCTTTTTAACTTTTTTTTTAGATTCCACATATAAATGATACCATGTCTTTCTGTCTTATTTCACTTAGCATAGTGCCCTCAAGGTCCATCCATATTGTCACAAACAGCAGGATTTCCTTCTTTCTTGTGGCCAAATATTATTCTGTTATACATATATATATACCACATCTTCTTTTAGGAATGGACAGCATTTCACAGCCAGAACAGGTTAGCTGTTTGGCTAGTATGCTGACAAGGGGGTCTGCAGTACGTGGGGTAAGTTTCTCTGCAAGCTGAGTAACAGGCATTCTGTCGACTTTTTGTGTAGAATCCTCTTGACATGTCTTACTAATTTGAAAGTCAGTGTTAATAATCAAAAGGAGAATGTCTGTCATCTTTTCAAATGTTTTGCCTTAAAGCATTTTCTATGCACAAAGAGAAGAAAAAATTTAAAATTCAACGGTCTTTTTACAAGAAGACACTCTATAGCATTAATATATTTTCTATTATGGGATTTAAAAGAAAACAGTAATGGTTTCTTATACCGCATTTCACCAAAGACAAAAAATATTTAGGCTTATTTTCTTCCAAAGATTCCCTAAACATGCTATCAAAAGACAGATTTACCTCCTGAATCTAGAAAAAAAGAATCTACTTCTTGCCTGTGTGGTAAGATGAAAGCCAAAAGGTAAAAAGAAGGAACAACAGAGTGAGAGAGCGGCTATATGTGCCTTTTAAAATTAGGTCTTTAATCTTTACAGGCACTTCTGAACTCAACAGCGCTACAACAGGCTCCTCATAAAAAGAGATAATCATCATTACTGACCAAAATGGCCTGGAAGTCTTGGAAATGCAAAATCAAAGAGTAAATAAATCATAAACTAAACTTTGATTTCAAACACTGCATTTTTTTAATGCCAAACATTAGAGTTTTGTTCTTCTTTATATAGGATGAAGTTATTAAACTCCTCAAAAAGATGGCATGCTTTAAATTCCTTTCCAAAACCTTTTCCCCTTTGTAGACCTACCATTTGGTCTGTGGTGCAACTGAGAAGGGTTTATTAGTGGGGGAATCTCATGGGTTAGCAAAGGCCGACACTTATTAAAATGAAGCATATCAGTTTAAATGGCCCATCCAACGATGCATTTCTGAATTTCTACTCCTTCTTCCAACAGAAGAGATTCAAATTCTCCTCTAGTGGCCTCCCCACCACTACACCCAAAAACCACACACAGCCTCATGCCACTTTTAAGTTTAAGGACAACATAAAAAAAGCAGTGGAAAATGTTTTTTAAAAAGATGGGGGAATATTTTGTGTCTTCTCTTAGATTCTCTCAAATCAAGACAAGTAAAAAGCTATGACAAAAACAACAGCAACAACAAACCCTGGACACGGGTGATCTCTTAACCTGCTACTGTGTGGTTACCTTTCTAGAAAGGAGAAAATTTCAATCTGCTGTGTAATTAGTTATTCCTATTCATCCAGTCCTATTCCAATTAGACTAAAATATGCCAAGATATTTCATTATCATACCACGGATTTTCTTTTCATTATAAATCAAATGAAATAGGTCATGATTACTTAATCAGTATGCAAAGTATTGCCTCTGGGAATCACCTGCAATTCTGACAGCTAGAATTCTTTTTAGTGCTTTGAAATCTGATTCTACTCAACCTAACCCCACCCCAATTCCTTCACTTAGAAATTTTCATTGTGCGAAGTATAGGCTTGTCCTGGAATAATTTAACTAATTCATGGAGAAAACAGATTCTGTTTTCAACCCCTATTCCTCCTCCCAAACAAAACAAAACAAACAAACAAACAAAAAACCCACATGATTAAGACTTTCTCCCTTCCCTCAGCAGCCAAGGAAAAAAGGTGGGAGGAAAACGCTGTTCCAAAATTATGTTAATAGATGTATGCCTCCCTCTTAAGAAAGGGATTGATTCTTCCCTACGAAGTTCACATCATTCCTAAGGTTAGTGACTACACCCTCATCTGTATTTATTAGATAATCTCTGAGGAAATCTCATCTAGTTCTGCCTGATACCCAAAGCCGAAGTCAAAGACTTAAGAGTCACATTTGATCCCTCTAGTTCCCTCATTCTCCACCTCCAAACTATTGAAAAATCCCATTGGCCTTGCCTCCAAATCCTGTCCCCTCTATGTCCATGACTCTCCCTCATCATCATCACCACCTGGACTAATGCAATAGTCTCATAAATGACTTTCCGGTTTCCACTCCTGCCTCTCCACAATCTATATTGCACAAAATAACCAGAGTGATTTTTCTAAAAAGTAAATCAGAACAGGGTGCTTCCTGCTTCAAACTCTCTAGTAGCATCTAGAGCTCTTGGAAGAAAATCTCCACTGCTCTCCATGGTCTGGGAGACCCCAGGGATCTGAGCTTCTCCCCCTCGTTACACTCCAGACAGGGCACTTTCTTTGGGCTCCTGAAACATGCAAAGTTAGTTCTAGCCTCAGGGTCTTTGCATCAACTTTTGCCTCTGCCTGAATGCTCTTCCCCAGATCATCAGAAAAAGAGATCTTTCTTACCATTCAGGTGTCAGCTCAAGGTAACCTCCCGGGACAGGAGTTGCCTGGTTGGGACCCAATCACAGCAGTTTTTCCCCTGTCCTCCAAGTCACTCCTACTACATCACTCTATGCTATTTTCATGATAGCACTTCCTGATATTTCCTCATCTGTTTATTTTGTTACTTGTTTCTTGCTCTTTTCAACACAGGTAGAGAGAGTAGGAACTTTGTCCGTCTTGTTGAATTCTATATCCTGAGGGTTTAGATTAGCCCTTGGATAATAATGCCTACTAGCAGACACTCAATACTTGTTGGATAAATGAATTGTCACAACCCTTTTCATGGCTTTCTAGTACCTGTGGATAAAGAATAACTGTTAACAGATGCTGCAAGGCCACTTCCTGCTATCTCCACACCACTAATTAACTGGACCACTTCCCTTGGGAAGAGCCTTCTCTCCTGCTGGCTTCACCAGGCTGTGCCTCCCCCAGGAGGTCTCTCCTGTCCCTGTGTCCTGATTAAATTCTGACTCATCCTTCCAAGTTCTGCTTACACATCTCTTGCTCTGGAAACTTTCCCTGAGACCCCAGCAAGGTTCACTCTCCAGCTTTCCACCTGGACAATATCCTGTATTCGCCTTCACATCACTTTCACACTTATCTTTTAACTGGTAATTTGTAATAACTTGTAAAACAAAGAAAAACAAAAACAAAACTCTGTTTTCCTGATTAGACTGTAAGCTCTATACCCCAGGGGATAAATCTGTTCTATTCATTCAACAAAAAGCTTGATACTAAGTAGGTTGCCTGACTATAAAACCAATTTGTTTTCAAATATGAGAAAAACACAAACTACATAGTCTTCCCTGTGTAAACGGGCTAAAAGCCTTCTTCTAACCTGCTTGTTCCAATGCCATGTCCCAGGAAGACTATGAATCTCTCCCCTCACTGCCCACCTCCCACCTCATCCCCATCAGACCTAGAGCAAACTTGACTCACACTTCTCCCAGATATTCTCTACTCCTTCCCTCCCTTCTGCAGCAGAAGAGCCAGAATCGCTGGGGCCTTCATTTGGCCAGCTAATCACTGCAGTGTGGTTAGGGAGGCCAAGCAGAAAGACACTGCCTGCTTCTTATACCCCAGAAGGAAGTTCAGGTCGGTGTGATATGAAGCCCCTAGACCTGGCTTAAATACAGAGGTGAAGAGACCCAGGGAACTGGAGATTGATGTCAGGGCCATTAACTGGAATAAGCCACCGAAGTATAAAGACAGAGGCTTTAAAACTACTGACAGAAAAGCTCATTCGATTTAGTACGTAAAATCCAGCTACCATTTTCAGAAGATTGTTCATATAGCGTTACAATATATAGTTTAAATTGATTTAAAAAAATTGATATCAATGTGTGCTATCTTATCTTCTTCCATAATTGTCAACTTCAGGTTGGGGAAGGTTGGGTAGCCTCTGCAGATAAACTGCTGGGCTCCTTGGCTCCATCCTGTCCTCCTCTGGCCTGTGCCCTGACACTGTCTGGATGAGCCCTTGGGATGCATAAGTATAGAAGCCTGAAGGATGGCTAGGCTGTTAAAGGGGGAGAGAACCTTCTCCTTTCACAAGGAAACTAAAGGAATCACAGTAGAGAAACATCAGGCTCCTCTGAGATCCAGCTCCTCAAACGAAGGGCACCTTTACACAGGAACAAAAGGTCTTAGACCTCAGTTCTTAGGAGCCAGCAGGCAACAGTGGTACCCAGCAAAACTGAAGTAATTGTGGTCCCTCATTGGTACCTCTACCTATCTACTATCAGGCTCTCTCTACGTCCACTTACAACTTTATGAGAAAATATAAGAGAAAATATACATATTTAACATATATTTAAAAATATATAATAAGGAGAAAAAAATATTTAAAGTATACAATCCCATAAAAGTGGTCTGAGTGAAAACAGAATTTTGGTGAACAAAGTTAATTTCATGAAGCTACTTTATAGAGTCACTTCATGTGCAACATAATGATTATTCACATTTCTTTATTTTATTTCTAGAGAAACTATTTTTTTCTCTAGCCACAGTACCAAAGAGGCCTTGTAGGAAAAAAGTAGAAGAGTAGTGAGACAGGAGGCTGAGTAATTTTTTTAAAATTCTGTTAATATACTTACGCAGTAGTAGTCTGCATGTCATGCCAGCTTTTGCTGAAGTTTTGTTTTAATTCATTCATCAGGTTCATGCCAAGTTTTTGTTTTATCTCAACCAGATGCCTTTCTTTCGCTGATAAAACCTGTCGTAATGTTGTAATTTCGTCTTCAAGCTACAGATGGGACGGAAAATAGTGGGAAAAGATGTCAGACCAACTGAAACATACACCTGCAAAACCTCTGGCCTGCAGAACAGCCTCTGCACCCTCTTGTTGACACAGCCCACGCTGGGCTATAGCAAACACATCTTGGAGGGATGATAGTGTAATATTTAAAAACAGAAATAGATTTTTAGTTTTAAAGGTTACAAAAGTAATCACTGTGTCTTATCAAACAATTTATTTGTACAGTAAAATGTAAACAAGAAAATAAAAATTATCTATAATCTCTTACAAAATAGACACTGCTTAATTTTTTGGTTTCCAATCTTCCAAACATTTTTCTAAAATTGTACATATATATAATTTTTGAACAAAAAATTTGGTTTTGTACTGTAGGCCTTATTTTATAAACAACTTCAAGTGTCACTAGTCAGTGTTGTTTTTTTAATTTTGCCAGCCACACACTGCTGCATTGGTGGAGGCATGGATTTAGCAGACATTGTGTTTTTGCCAAGCTAGTATCTTAGGAAAAGAGCAATAGGGAGGAATGGATGTATGTGAGGGAGAGATTTGTATTGTTTTAATTTTTAACAGTTTCATGGATGTGGAATTATCACACAATGAACTGCACACATTTATAGTGTACCATTTATAAATACTGACCCATGTATATTCCTTTGAAGCCATCACCACAATCAAGATAGTGAACATATCCGTCCATCACCTTCAAAAGTTTTCTAGGTCTTCTTTGTAATTTCTTCTTCCCACTTACTCTCACTCTCCCAGGCAGCCACTGATCTTTCTTTCAGTAGAGTTTATTTTGCATTTTTAAGAATTTTATATAAATTGAATCATACAGCATATACTCATGTTTGCCTGGTTTTACTCTAATTATTTGAGATTATTTCAGATAAATTATGTTGCTGCATTATCAATTGCTTTTCCCTTTTTATGGCAGAGTAGTATTCCATTGTATGGATATACTACAGTTTAGCATCCAGTCACCTGCTAAAGGACATTTGGGTTTGGCTAATGCAAATAAAGCTGCTATGAACATTTATACAGCAGTCCTCAACCTGTTTTGGCACCAGAGACCAGTGCTCCTATGAGAATCTAATGCCTCATGATGATCTGAGGTTGAGCTGAGGCGGTGATGCTAGCGCTGGAGAGTGGCTACAAATACAGATGAAGCTTCATTTGTTCACCCATTGCTCACCTTCTGCTGTGCAGCCCAGTTCCTAAATAGGCTATGGACCGGTATCAGTCCACAGCCTGGGGGTTAGGGACCCTTCATGTTTAAAGTTTTTATAGACATGTTTCCTTTTTCTCTCTTGCTGCAGAAAAGCAAATCTCTTCATCACTATAAAATTACTCTCACAAATATTTCTAACAAAGAGTTCTATAAAACACCCAGATTTTAGACAATGTTGCTATATCTCATAAAAATAAATTTGAACCTCCAAAAAGTCTTTGATTCTAATTGATTGTTGTATGTTATTATGCACTGTCCTGGTAACATTGCTTAAACTTACACCTTTGTTTTCTGAAGATATAACTATTTGTGACTTTCTTTGTGAAGCTAGAAGAGAATCATTAGTACTCTATTAGCATGGAGGTAATAAAAACCTGATACTTTATATTTTATTTGAAAAAATAAATGGAGCAGCTGTGTCTCATTCACATACAAAGTTATCACCCTACTTCTGACCACAAAGTGCATCACTAACCCTGTTAAGTCATCTTGCAAATGTGCTCCTTGAGTCACCAGAGACATAGCTGCTAGAAAAGCATCTCAAAAAATACATTTAACTTTGCAAAAATTCGTCTTTTTACTGGTGCAAGGAAGATTCTGCTCCATTAGTTAACAGATAGGAATAGTATTGTGAACATTCATATATGCAAATAATGATTTAAGCAAAACAGCAGAAATATTGAATTAGAAGCATCTTAAATACTACAGTAAAAAAAACCCAATATTTTGAGGTTTTTAATATCAGCAAAATGTCCTGGTAATTTAACATTATCCATTTTTTATGTTTATAAAACATTTTTTAGTGCTCATGGAAATATTTCTAAAATTTTTCTAAAATAATTACACATTCCATAAACATGTTAGAAACAATAGAACCCTGTCTTAATGAACAAGAGTCTTCAGTATACAAACATATATTTGTTATTGCAAAAGGATTCTGTTCAGCGACCACCAAAGGGAATATAACATTATCCATTTTTTATGTTTATAAAACATTTTTTAGTGCTCATGGAAATATTTCTAAAATTTTTCTAAAATAATTACACATTCCATAAACAGGTTAGAAACAATAGAACCCTGTCTTAATGAACAAGAGTCTTCAGTATACAAACATATATTCGTTATTGCAAAAGGATTCTGTTCAGCAACCACCAAAGGGAATAAGACTTTTAGTCTATTACCTGAGGACACATGGTTATTCTAAAAGTAAACCCTTCTATTCTTTTGGTATGATGCCACATTCTACTTTTCAATTTTGTCAGTGTGTCTTCCTGCATTTACTCTGCTGCCTAATATTTTTCAAGGTTGTATCTCTAGCTCTCTTACCATAGAAAATTCTTAGGCTTCATTTCAGCCTTTTATTTGTATCAGAAAGACCTTCTCTGCTTTCTTTTGGGTAAATAATATGTTGTGAGTGACTGAAATTACTGGGAGTCTGTTTTATTTATTTATTTATTTTGACATATCAGGTATTATTGTAGTTTCCATTGTGTATTAAAATAATGGAAAAAAATTTTAACTTGTAGAAAGTAATTATAGATGCAGAAAAGAAGAAAGAAGCACAAACATTTTGCTATTCTCAATCTCATGTCTATGGAATCCCAGAAATTTATTCAAAATTGAGAAGACAATAGGATATTCATTTGTTATTTGGGGAGCAGTGAGTAAAGGATTCATAGTTTTCTAATGAAATCCTTGACTCAAAATAGTGAGAAACATCGAAGTGACTAATTTACTGAATATCATCCTAAAGAAAGAAATATAAAGTCCCACACTTAAAAATCAAATCACAGGTTAAAAGGCATTTATGGGGAAGAGACTTCTAATGATGAAGACCTGAACCTGGTTATTTAGTTGGGTCTATTCTTAGGTTCCATAATGAAATAAGACTCACCCTTCGCAAAGCTTTCAGTATAGTAATGCTCTGAGATTTTAATGTCTTAAATTTGGTGGAACCAGAGGACATACATTATTTAACGAGCATCCCTAGTTATTCTGATGCAGGTAGTATGGAAACTCTATATTTTAACCTTATAAGACATGTCAAATTCCTTCTGAAATGAGGTGTAGTACAGGTAAATCATTAATTAAAGTGTTTAATATATCCTTTCCCCTTTCATTTTAAATTAATCATGTTTTCATTAGAAACTAATAGTCTTTGGTTCCTTGACTCTCTAGAAAATCACTTTGCAGGATAAATATTTATGACCAAGATTAGATATTTAAACTCAACTATTTAAATATGAATTAACAGGAACATAACAAATGCTGACGAAGATGTGGAGAAACTGGAACCCCTATACATTGGTGGGAATGTAAAATGGCTCAGCCACTGTAGAAAACATTCTGGCAGTTTCTCAAAAAGTTAAACATAAAATTATCACATAACCAAGCAATTGCACTCTTAGGTATATTCCCTAAAGAATCGAGAATGAGTACTCACATAAATACATGTAAACTCATGTTCATAACAGCATTATTCACAATAGCCAAAAGGAGAAAACAGTCCAAATATCCATAAAAGGATAAATGGATAAAGAAATTTGTAGTATATACATATAGTATATAGCCATAAAAAGGAATGATGTATTGAAACGTGATACAACATGGATGAACCATAAAGACATTAGGCTAAGTGAAAGAAGCCAGACACAAAAGGTCACATATTATATGATTCCATTTATATAAAATATCCAGAATAGTTAATTCATAGAGATAGAATAAAGATGAGTGCTTGTAGGGAAGAAGGCAAAATGGGAAGCAACTGCTTAATGAGTATTGGGTTTCCTTTCGGGGTGATGAAAATGTTTTGGAACTAGATAGATGTTTTGGTTCATAACATTGTAAGTGTACTAAATGCCATTAAATTGTTCACCTTAAAATAGTTAATTTTGTTTTATATCAATTTACCTCCATAAAAAATGCAAAAAATCAGTTAATAATTTGAATTAGTTAATAAATTAACTTGAATGTGAAATTTATGTGAGAAGATTGAAAATTTAGTTTTCTATTTTATCTGCTAGATTATATAAAATATCTAACTTAAACCCATAAAAAGAAAAACTTTCATCAACTATTAATCCTCTATACGACGTTTAGGAGTATGAGTATTTGATCTCCTGCATACAGTGCTTCAAGTCCTGCTTCTTCTTCTGGTTACTCCTGTCCTTTGGCTAAGAGTCCAGAAGAACTAAGATTAAAATGCAGATACTATCTGGGAAGATTCGATGCATAATTTTATGTGTCAACTTGACGGGGGCATGGGGTGCCCAGACATTTGACCAAACACTATTCTGAATGTGTCTGCGAGGATGCTCCTGCATGAGATTAACATTTGAATTGGCAGATTGAGTAGAGCAGACTGTCCTCCCAAAATTGGTGGGCCTCATCCAAGGCTAAATAGAACAAAAAGGCTGACTGTTCCTCAAGTAAGAAGGAACTCTTCCTGCCTGACTGTGTTTGAGCTGGGACACTACTTTTTTTTTCCTGTCTTTAGATTCAAATTGTGACATCAGCTCTTCCTGGGCCTTAAGCCTGCTGACCTTTAAACTGGAGCTACACCATTGGCTCCCCTGGAGTCTCCAGCTTGCTGATTATAGATCTGGGAACCTGTTGGCCTCCATATTACATCAACCAATTCCTTAAAATAAATCTCTTTCTGTATACATATATACACATCCTATTGGTTCTGTTACTCTGGATAACCCTGAAACAGAGGGGAGTTACAATAAGACATTATTGGTTAGGAACACTTTCGTTGTTTACTAGCTCAGTCCAGGAAGAATGAAGATTTTAAAGAAAGTAACTGAGAAAGAAACGTCAAGAGTCCAAGGCACTTCTTTGTAAGTCTAAATGGTGGGGTGCGGGGAGCGGGGTTAGGACACTGTGTGTTCTTCCTGGAGAACCATACAATAAAGACAGTAGAGCCAAGAAAGAAATGGAGAGAACCTTAAAATAGGTTCTGCCTACTTGATAATGCTGTCTGGTATTTTTCCTAATTCTATTAATGCCCACTTTTTGTTTTGTCATTTTATTGAGGGGATGTTGGCAGTATTTGATTGTTATATAATACAAATTTACTGTACTAATGCCAACACTTCATCCTTTTCAAAAGCTAAGTCATAATAAGGAATACTAAGCATAAAATGCAGCTTAGTGAAATGAAAGTGGGAGTAGGATATTAGTAGCACAGAAATATTGAACAAGTTTATTTAAAAAAGAGAGAGAGGGAAAAAAAAAACTCCACAGAATAAATGTGTAAAGACCTCAGAAAAGATTTCAGGAGTAGCTGGTAATAAGACAAATGAGAACAAATCTCTGAAACAAAATAATGTTTTTTAATATATTGGCAAAAAGCATAATCTACTGCTCGTATTTGCAAATATAAATATTCATTAAAGCGATAAAATAACTCAAGTTAAATATAAATCTTATTGCACACCTGCTATACATAATCCATTGCATCAGATCAGAGGTGATACTGGACTCACGCTGAAGGAACTTTTAAAAGGACACATATTGAATGGCCACGATAATAAAATAAAGACTAAATTGTGTTAACAAATTCTTTTAAAATGCAGACTTCATCGTCTAAAATGTAGCCTTTGGACAATATTGGATCATTTACGTCTCCTACCACATGGACAGGTCTTACCAGCACCTGGTAAGCACACAGCAATGTGTTGGCAGCATGTCTAATGGAGTAAGAAGTTCCCCTGAAGTCTACGCATCCGCGTGGGAACATAAACAAAGAACAGTGCAGGATAAAGCAGTGAGGAGGGATCCAGCAGGGCCAGAAGACAGGAGGAGGATCTATGGAGAGGAGTGTACTGAAGAGGAGACTGGACCCCTGACTAAGACCTGTTTTAAGCAAAGCATCCAGAGATAATAAGTTCTTATACTCAAAGGTCTTGCTTTAAATCATGGCCACAACTGATTGTCCGACTCAAAGGCAATCTAATAGGCTGACCTGTCAGGTGTCCTGCTACCCAAGTGGCTAACAGACCCAGCAGGGTCCTCCCTCAGACACAAGGAGGGGCTGCTTGAGACTATGGGCCCAGGAAGACTATAGAGAGTTGAGGCAGAGAAGCTGAACTATCTAAAGGATGTCTCAGTCCTTCATAGGGCCAGGTGTGGGACTGCCAAGATGGCTCTCTGTGTGTTCTTGTTATTATTAAACCCTAGCACCAGAGGTAACACGAATACAGGTATGGCCTGAAAGAACCTGACCTGGGGTGCGTGTATGCACACACACGCATGCACCTGCACTTGTAGAAGGGCAAGAAAAGCAGATTTAAGAAAAGAATGAGCATAAAGCAAAGGTGGTTTGTGGTAGAAGGAGAATAAATGGAAATGGGAACAGAGAAAAAGTGAAGATACACTTTCTCTGTTTTTCACCAGGCCTGGGGCATATAGCTGTGCCCATGAAAGTCACGATGCTACTTCTGGCAAGATGCGGTCCTTCTCCATCATTTAAGAATCCAGAAATAAGAGACAGGAAGCATGGAGACTAATGCATTCTGAAGACTGAAAACATGAATCCTGGCAACTTGAACACAGTAAAAGGAGTGTGGTGCTATTTTCAGAAGTCAGGCTTAAAAAGTCTTAGGAATGAGACATGCTGGAAGCTTATTAATGTAACTAAATAAGACAAGAATTTCTGAAAAAAAATTTTTTTTTTTAAAAATATTTATGGTGCCTCCATTTAGAACCAAGGCTTAGTCTCTTTATTATGAAATACATGCTTATTGTTTAACATTTTGAAAATATAGAAAGCATGAAAATACATTGATATATGTATGTATGTGTGTGTAATCCGGTAATCCCAGAATCTCAAAAAATCAATGCGTGTTATAAAAATTAGTCTGTTACAGAGGTTGTATCTGAACTTAAAACGTGAAGGAGTTAATTATAGCTTAGAATCAGGTCACTTACACCAGTCTACAGAATGTAACTTTTGGACACCACAACTGACATGAACGGGTCGTGAACCAGAACTTCAAGCCTTAAGAAAACATGGAGCTGGTCCATTCTCCATTAAGGCTGACTTCGGTCTGTGCACTCTGGCATGTGTGGCCAATCTGAGGTAAACTGGGTGGTTCTGGATCAGTGGTCAGAGACAAACCCAACTAAAGAAGCCGGCTATTTGATTTGAGGTACTGTGTTTACTGAAATAATTTCTACTGTACCCAAGGAACAAGCTGCTCTTTTATTTCAAAATAAAGTTATTTTAGGGTGTGTCTTGAGAAAGCACCTGAACACTCTGATATTATAAGCTGTCATAAACACACACTGCCAGAACATTGGAGCTTGAAAAGTCTGGAGTGGACAAAGTGTGCTGAGAGTAAGGTGGAGCTCAAAGCTCTGTCCCTAGCCAGCGGAAGAGGCCAGGGCAGGAGAGTGAAGCCTTGCTTCTGGCTAGACCAGGAGTTTCCTGCTCAGTGAGCCAGGGATTAGGAACGGGGAGGGAATGCTGGCCTCGTCCCCTCCTGCCCTACTGTCCATTCTATTTGAGAAGCTCCTTTTCCTTCTACAATGTACCACTCCTTAACAAAGTGTATAAGAGTTGATGGGTGCTGCAAACAAAAGGCTCGAATAAAGAGTTGTATTCACGATGAGCCAGACATCCTCCTCTCCTGTAGGTCCAGATGCTCAAACAACCACACAAGATCTAATGAAGCCTATATTCATCATCACTTTCCACTGTACCCCCAGGGCTCTATTCTGCAAAAGAGTACACAACTCAATCAACTTAGTTGCTTCTATGATTGACTTTTTCATCACAAAACTAAATCATTTCAAAGTATTTGCTGAACTAAGTTGTTGACCTAAAACAAAAAAGAACTACTAATGAAAAGCAGTTAGTACTTGTAGCAAGGTCTTGAAGGAATTCCACCAGGCTTGTGATTTATTGTTCCCACCATATTGTGATGCTAAAAAGAAAAAGAGGTGCATATTTACGATCAATTATCATTGTTGCTTAAGCAGCATAACGAACTGTAACCGACAGGTAATGGATAATCAGCATTCTAAGAATACCTTGGGAAAAAAATGTCATCTTACAATATATAATTTATTAAATTTGATGTATTGCAAATTTGATATATAAAATTGAATAAAAAACCACATCATTGTAATACAGGACATATCAGAGTAATAATAACTTTCAAGCTGCAGAGATAGACATATCAAAAATAAGTAGATTACTAAACATACCTGAACTAATTCTGCTTTTAACTCTTCTTTTTCCTCCTCAGAGAGCATGTTAGAGAAGTCAGCACTGGTTACAGTGTCTTCATCTCTTCCTTGTAATGGTTCAGTCTCCAACAAACCTTTAAGCAATATTGATGAAATATTATGCAATTTTAAAAATGAATTTAATCAACTTCTACTTCCATAGTCTGCAACACTAGATACACCGACCCACCCATTGAAAAAGAACTAAAAATTTAAGAAAAAAAAAATCTTTCTAAATGTGTGATGAGCTGCTAAGAAAGTAAATACTAAGAAACCAAAAGCACTAAGGGAAAGGCAGAAGCTAGATATGTAAACAAAACTAATTTTCACTAGTTCTCCATTTGCCATCCAGATAAATTCCAGCTTTGGTTTTTGCTGTCTCATGGGGTACAGAGGACAGAAGATAAAGTCCAGGGCCACCCAAGGAGAGGAATATAAGGTAAGACCCTACATAAATCTGTGTCCCCACAGGGCTACACTCCCAGTAAAGTGAACTGGAAATGAATACTTCTCTCCAGACTGCCTGCCTGCCTTGACGCTTGACACTGAATGGACAGACCAAAAGATCCTTCCCTGAGAATTGATAAACCCTGAGTGGGACTGCGTGTGCACTTGAATGCAGCTTGAATGCCCACTACCAGCATGTTCCAAAGCAACTATGAGATAAAAATTCAGAGTGTTAAGACTTTTTTCCACTTCAGATGTAGTAATAGGCAGATACAAGATCTGGAGCAGCTGCAGTTGTGAGGAGACATCATGAAAAAACTAATTTTGGTAGAGAGAAAATAGGAAGTGCCCGGGTTCTTTATGACATCGTTGTGCCACAGGCTAACCCAACATGGTTCAACTTCTAACTTGTTATGTGAGAGAAATGCCTTATCATTAAAAATATAAAGAAGTTCCCTAGTGGAGTCCCTTGGCATCTGATCAACTTAAATGCGTATGTTCTCTGGAGGGCCCAGGAAACAGGCCCACACATATACAGAAGGCTCATTTATGGACAGGAGTTACGACAGAGTTGGCATTTATACATCTGTGGGGAAAGGAAGGTCTTATAAGTTGTCCTGAAACAAACAGTTCTCTATATAGAAAAAATAAAATTGAACCCTTTCACCATTCATATAGAGAAATCAAACTATAAACATTTTAGAAAGCAATATAGGAATTTATATTTATGAACTTCTAGGTAACAAGGGATTTTTTTAGACACAGAAAAGGTCATCTATGAAAGATAGGATGGATAAGATTAAGAATGTCTCTTCATCGAATGCACTATGTGGAAAATAAAGAGACAAGCCACTCACTGAAAGAAGATATCTCTCCCATGTATAACTATCAAAAAATTCATTCCTAGTACATATAGAATACCTAAAAACCAAATTTTAAAATATTAATAACCCAATAGAAAAATGGACCAAAAGACCTAAACAGTCTCTTTATAGAGAGAAATCACAAATGTTAATAAACTCAAGAAAACATGCTCAACCTCAGTGATGTTCAGGGAAGTACGAATTAAATCATTTTACACCCACTGGATTATCAAAAAGTTAAAAGCTGGATATTATTGAAAGTCGGTGGCTGTGGAAGACAGAAAACTTTATACACTGCTGGCAAGAATATAAATAAGCACAAATAACTTAGGACATAATTAACACTACCTAATAAAGTTGAACATTTAGACACTCTACAGTTGGGCATTTCCACACCCATGCTTATGCCTGAGACACTTATATACCAGCACCAGAGATCATTAATAAGAACTTTCATGGTAGCAAAAGACCATTAAGTCATGTAAAAGTCCATAAACAGAAGAACATGTAAGTATACTGTGGTCCATTTACACAGAAAGATTAGATAATAGTGAAATGAGTGAACTACAGCCATGCACACTACATGAATAAAACTTGGGAACAAGATGCTGAATGAAAAATACAAGTTGCAGAAAAGCAAAAAAGTATGATTCCAATTATATGAAGTCCCAAACCACGAAAAACTATATAAAATATTGTTTAGGAATAAAATTGTCAAGCAAAGGCAATGATAAAACACTCAGGACCATGGTTTTCTTTGCGGAGGGTAGCAGGGGATGATGGTAGTGGAGGACCTGCAGGTGATCTCCACAGCATTAATGCTAATGCTCCATTTCTGGACTCCAAGTTTCTGTGCATGAGTATTTTCTGTTCTTTAAACTTATTTTGTAAATATTCTTTTGTGTGTTTAGTATCATTATTTGATAAAACAATTTAAAACAGATTCTGTCAAAAGTCAAAAGAGAAAAAGGTAAATAATTATCCTACAAAATCAGAACATTCCAGTTAAAGAGAGCAAGAATATGGCCCAATTTACAAAGTTCTTTTGAAGCTGGCCTCACTTTTGAGTCTACTGTAGCCACATCATTTTGTCTGAATCAACGGTATACCATCAGCACCTGTGTCACTACCGATATCCTAACACAAGTCAGTGAACATGGCCTTGATGCTCAGCACTGAATGGACAGACCAAAAGATCCTCCCCTGAGAACTGATTAACCCTGAGTGGGACTACGTGTGCACTTGCAGCTTGAATGCCCACTTCCTGGGTGGTCCAAAATAACTTCGTGATAAGAATTCAGAGTATTAAGACTTGTCTGACCCAAGTTCATCAGATCCTTATCTCCCCTATGTACTCGAGAGGCCAGTGTCAGTACTAAATAATGTTCTTTTTCATAAGTAATACCTGTTTATTGTAGAAGAGAGTAAAATAAAATGAGCCATTATTAATTATAATCAGTATTAATCACACTACACAGAAATAATTATCCCTTTGGTTTATCCTTACCGATATTTCTCCTATGCATATGTCCATAGCTTCTTATATATTTTTATGTAAATTTACTGTTGTGAACTTGATTTATTTATTCACTCCTTAGGATATCATGAAAATCCTTTATGTCTAAAACCACAACTCTACATGTGTATATTTTTGATGGTGTACAGCATTTTGTCTTATGTATGAATGATAATTTATCCTGCTTATTGGGAAGTTGCAGTGAATGTCTCCTGGCCATTTCATTGGTAAAATCTTGATTTCCTATACATTAGAATCCAAGGACATGGACATTTTGATACTATAGTCTAATTATTCCCTGGAAGGGTTGTGCCAGTTCTTTAAGCATCAGCAACCTATAAGAATATCTCTAGGCTCTTAGTACAACAATGTAAATAAGTCATTTTAAGGGGAAAAAAACACGGTCATTTAATTCTGCTAGTACATTTTTATGTTTAAATGCGGCCAATGTATTTTTAGTCATTGTTCTAGGATAACTATCTAAATTAAGAATCAGCAGCAATTCCAAGCACAGGTTTAAGAGATGTGCCCAGCAGGTAAGCTGCCTCCTGCATTGGAGGTTAGGAAACACTATGTATAGGCCTGTAAAATATTCTGGTCTTCTCCCCAACTCAGCCTGGCCCAGGAACTTAGGGATATTGCTCAAATTTAGCTAGAACCCAAATTCTCAAACTTCTCCTCTCTTTGAAGTGTGAGAAAACATGTACCAGGCCAGGGGATAGACAAAATAGTTCTAGGTACTTAGGACTTTTCAAGACATCAAAGATTTTTAGCATCTTCCTATATTCTAGGAAGAAAAAATTTAAAATCCATTTGAATTGATAGTACATGAACTGGGAAACTTCTAATGAATTTAAGGACAGAAAGACTCCTCACATCCAGCAGAAAGCTTCTACTTTTCAGCGGGGAGGCACATAAACTTTATAAAGTGAGATATTTTACACTGGCCTTTAGCTCTATCTGTCACAAGTCCCACTCCTCAGGGACATCATGGATCTTTCAGAGTCTTACTCACAGAAACCAGCTGAACTACAGAAGAGGGCTTGCAATGTGCAGGTTTCAGCTTTTCACTACTAAAGGCCACAGCAACTCTTCCACAGCTCAGCTCTCATCAAGTTCCAAGAACCCTACCCACTAGGGACTGTGCTGACTTCCTGCTGCTGTTCTGAGGTGCCTCAACTGCTTGTTTCCCTTAACTTTTCCTATCTTTCTAATAGTTCCTTTATTAAAATCTTGAATAAGGTGCCCCTTTTGAGCATGCTATCCATCTGCTTCTTCCCTGGTCCCTGACTGGTATAGGAAGGCTATCCCAATCTCTTTTTTGAGCCCTAGAAAAATATCTTTCAGGCTAGCCTACACCAACCTGGAACACAGCCACATGCCTGTAAACTGGGCAAGTGCTGAATGGTTGGGCAGATTGGCCCTTTATGCTTAGTTTCCCAACTGACACTTCTGTAGTCAGTTAATCACACATGGGATCCAGAGGTCCACACAGTACAGAGAACCTTGTCACCTGGGCAAGGGGTTGGTGCCCCTGCAGGAAGCACTTGAGTTACTGGCCCTGGCCAGAAGTCTGGATGGAGGAGGTGAAGAAAATCTTCCACAAATGAGAGCCAATGTGAGGCTGAATCACATTGGAAGGGCTATTAGGCCCCAATCCAGCCAAAGAAGACAAGATCATGAGTTAATATTTGCAAAAAATGTCAGCACCAGAGGACATTGTGGGACCAGCTGCCCAAAGAGCCAATAGAGAATACAAGGCACTATAGGAGCCTTTCTTTCTTCCATATAC